ACCTTCCAAAACTCAGAAACACTACCAACACAAAAATCGATTTCTCCTTAGGCGCAAAAAGCGGAAGCATTGACTAATGTTCCAAGAAGAGCAACACCCACTAAAAAAGAAAATTTAAAACCGTAAAAAAATGAAAAGGAAAACTCATTAATTCTCACTCAGCTAACCTCCCAAGAAAAAAACAAACAACAATCTAAAAAGGTAACCAAGCAAAGATTGATGCTCAGAAGCTAAAACCCAAAGGAAATTTGCCACTAAAATTAGAGCGAGTAAGCATACAATCGAGGAAGAAGATCCTACCAGCAATGAACCAAGGAACGGCGATTAGAGACTTTCAAAACAGTTAGCAAACTAAACAGGACTATCATATGATACCTTTTTACCCATATCGATAGTGTAAGACTTTAAGTTCAGAGACGGAAGCTATCCCAACAAAGCCATATATATCTTAATATCTCTTGTAAAGCTCTCTCGAATGTCTAGCCGTAGAATCAATGTAAGGCTCGGTCGCAGAAATCGAGTGAATCGGCTTTGAGGGGCTGGGATTTAGTAAAGTAAAGAATTCTCCCGAAAACTAAAACTAAAATATAGAAGAAGTCTTGCGGAGTTCACTGGCTCTCTGATTAAATTTTTTTAATTATTTATATCATCCAAAATTAAACTAATTATTTTTTTATTGCCCTAATTACCCAAATCATAATTGCAATTATTAATTGTGTTAACATAATTTGAAACTGGACTAAGACCCAATAAGAATGAATATTTGGGTCTGTTTTTTTATTTATTGGGCTCATTGAATTTAAATGTTCGACACCATTTTGAAATATCTTTATTTTTTTTTGGGTTGATTTGAACATTTTCTTTTTTTGAAGCCTATTATTAAATTACTGTATCTGTCTATATTTTTGAAACCGCTTTGAAATAATCCATCTCATTTGTTATTTGTAACAGAATGTGAGGGATTGATTGTGGAGGTTTTCGTAGAGGTCATTGGGATAAGGTAGAAGACGAGATACTAAAAGCGTATGTCAAGGTGTTGGAAAGCCGCCGATGGAATTATATTTCAAGAGTGTCAGGTAATTAACAGTATGCTGCTACTATTTATCTTTTATACATCAAACTGCTCATGAATTTGAAATTTGTTAATGAACTTTTAGCTCTTAAGAGAACTGGGAAGAGTTGTAGTCGGAGGTGGCTAAACTATTTGCGCCCCAATCTCAATTATTAGCGCTGAAGAAGAAGCGCTTATTATCAAGCTCCATGAACAATGGGGCAACAACCAACAAGTAATGGTTCTTATACTCTGTTGCTTGTTTTCTTTTTGTCGTTAGTTGTCATTCTGATAATGCCCAGCCAGCCTTCCTTTGCTAGGTGGTCAATGATCGCGCAGGAGTTGCTTGTAAGTACCCGTTAGAGTAAATAGGAAAGTCAGTTTAGAATTAGTTAGATGCTTTGCTATTCTGTTATGAAAGCTAACCATAGAAATTAGTTAACTCATCATTAGTTGATCATGAGTTAACACATTATGTGCTTTGTATAAATTCAGTTGATTACAATAATAAAAACTACTCCTTCCGTTTCTTATTTTTTAAAAGCTAGAAACAGAAAAAAATTGTAGGAAAAAATAAGAAAGAATCGCGGAAATATTCATCTGATGCAAGAAAATGCAGGAAAAACAAAAATAAGAAAGGGAAAGAGTAGTTTTTATTAGGGTTTAAATTCTATTAGGATCATCTTTTTAGGATCTCATTAAGATGATGTCACCTAATTAAATTTGAATTATCATCAAGATATATTTTATACCCTAACTCACCATATTATAACTCTTATTTATTGCATATATCAATCAATTAATTGCATTAATTCACTTTATTCTTGTTAAGATTGAATTTTAGTGATAATAGGCTTTTTAACCCAATGTTAGGAATATGTATTAATAGGAAAATTCTAAACAACCAAAAAAATTGACTAGAATTTTATCCCTAATGATGTGTCATGTGGGGTCATCCCATGTTTTGTAGCAAAATCCCACTTAACTAGTGGTGTGACCAATCTGCTAGACCAATTGTGTAACAACACGTCATGGAGGACAAAATTTCGGGATAATTTTTCTGGTCATGTAGCAAAACTCTATGTAATATATTACTGTATTTTTTTAAGAGTAAGTTTTATTATTAAAAATTACCATAAGCACACTTTAAAAAAAAATGGTTCTATCAACCAACTGATAAGTGATAACTCTAGACTTCTAATTTCTTTTAATTAGTAGCAAAAAAAAGTTCTTTTAATTAATATTTATTAATCAAAAGAATCAATTTTGGTGCCAAAAAAAATCAAAAGAATCAATTTCCTAATTAATATTAGGAAATAATATATAATTTTTTTTACCTTCAAACACAATAAAAAAATACAAGAGAGATTTTTAAAAATTACCTTGGAATATTGAACAATTAACCCATAATTTTGTTTAATATTTTTTTAAAAAATATATTTCTCATCTTATCAATTTATTTTATTATGGTTTGATACATGTTTTTTTTTCCTGTTACATTTTTTTTTGTTGCTTAATTAAGGTGAAACTGTGAAAGTAAATATAGAATGAATTAAAAGTTAATTTGATGAGGGAGAGTGTAGGATATATCTTAATGGTCTCTTAAGATTGATTAGGTGGCATCATCTTAATGGGATCCTAAAAAGACTCCTTTTTAGGATGATTCTAATAGAATTTAAACCATTTTTATTATTGTAATCAACTGAATTTATATGAATCACATAATGTGTTAACTCAGTACCAAAAAAAAAACATAATGTATTAACTCATGATCTACTAATGATGAGTTAACTAACTTCTATGGTTAGTTTTCATAACAGAATAACTAAGCATCTAACTAATTCTAAACTTACTTTCCTATATACTCTAACAAATGACATTCTACATTATCAATTTAATGATTAAGTTAATAGCAGGGACTAAATTGACCTCAACTTGTAAATAGAGGGACTAAATGGATCACATATCAATTTATCGTCTTTTACGTAAAAAAAATATTTAAAATGTTATTTAAACTCATAATTAATTCTTTCCCGGAGCGAAGCCCGGGTCGGACCCTAGTTACTATAAATCTTCCATGAGCTTTTTAATTGGAGGGAAACAAGGTTAAGTATTTATAGACCAGGAATTAGGTTTCCCCAATTCCCATTGGAATACTATCCAAGCATGGCGGTCAGGAGGATTGCTGCCACCGTTGGTAGAGTGATACGACTAGACAAACCCACGGAGACGGTGGAGCAAGGTGGATATGCTAGGGTATGTGTTGAACTCGATTTAACTGCTCCTTTGAATGCAGTGGTTCACATCAGAGAACTGATACAAAAAGTTGAGTATGAAGGGGTTACACATTGATACGAATCTAGTTGTGTTAGATTCAAATCTATCCTTGAAAAGTCTTCAAAGATCTACTTGAAATTCATCAACTTCTAGATGTGTTGGTTGATAGTCTTCACAAGGCAACTCCTCTTCTTTCGTCGGTCCTAGATCTCCAATTAGACCTGCAATTGTCAACCTAAGATCACAAAGTTCACAAACAATTAAGCAATCACAACCTAATTGTTTGCTAGGACTCTACAAGATTGAAGAACCCTAAGTATGCTCAAACTAGAACAATGAAGCTAAGATAATCAATTGGGTGAATAAATCTCAAATCTTTATTGAATACTTAACTTGTGTTTATAAGATGGGGTTGGTCCCTTTATATAGGCATAGGGACGCCCCTTACCCTAATCCTAAATAGGATGGGCGGCTAAGCATAAAGGAAAGGACAAGGAAATAGCCTAAACCAAGTCCTACTAGGAAAAGTAAATAACAAAGCATAATTAAGCAAGGATTGGACTTAGTTAAACAAGACCCAATCCAATGTCATCTATACATAATAATAAGCTAATCTAAGATAGAATAAAGCCCACAATGACCGAATTACATCAATCTAGCCCAATTGCTCATCGATTGCAAACAATGTAAGAAGCTTGAAATCGTTGGGAATATTCTTGCTCAAAACATCACCAAAGCTCTTCAATTGAACTTCAATGGTCTTCAAGTCTTCAAGATGAGTTCGAATAAGGCCCATTAGTGCATCCTTGAACCTCTTAGCTCTTGCTCTTGTCATCGGACCTAATGGCATCTTTGGCATCTCCTTGGTGCTTGGAACAACTTGTACGATATCACCATCTTCTTTAAGCTTGTCCATGCTTCCTTGCAGCCCATGCACATCCTCTCCATGATCTCCATTCTGTTCTTCAAGACCATGATAAGCCTTTGGCGCATCATACATGATTTGTTTTGGGTGTGGTCAATTTGGACATCGAAGGGATGCTTGTTCCATGTTACACACTAAGAATTCGGCGAATGTCGATGTCGATTCCATGTTACACACAAAGGCCCAAACCTGCTGAACAGTCCATGCCGATCCCGGAGTTTGGACCATGGATGATTGTTCAACGGAAAAACCGTCGGTCGACGAAGGAAAGGGTTGACAAGGGGAAATCGAAAGTGGTGCCAAACCAAAGGCTTGATTCATGGAATCAGTATCATTCATTGCAGGGCGTAAAAGAGGGTTTTAAGGAGGGATTGAAGGAGAAATCTAAGAGTTTTAATTCGGATGAATCAAGGGAGAGAATCAAGGAGGTTGCTGTTGAAAAAAAATTGAAAACTAATGGTGATAATGGTTATGGCCGTCAAGTTTGGCAACAGAAGAAAGCTACAGAAATTAAGTTTCATTATAAGCGTCAGGGAAGGGAGGATCGAAGGGTTTGAATAGGAAGCTAATCCGAAATCAGCCTCTAGGCTTGATATTCCAAAGTCATACTCTGTTCCTGGACCAAATTTTACAACTGGGCCTTCTCCGGGGTTTTCTTTTAAAGCTGAGCCTACAGAGACTATTACTTTTGATCCTAAAAGACTTGAGGATCTTGTTAGATCAAGTCATTTTGGGCTCTCTCATTTAATGGGACAACAAAATTCTACAGCAAATACAGAAGTTGTGAAGGAGGATGGTTTGCCGAGTTTGATGGAGAGTACGGGTGGTGAAGTTGAGATGGTTTTGTCGTCTGATGCTATCTCTCTTCCTCCACAGCAGCCTCCCATGGTGGCATCAGATACTTTAGTTCCAAATTTGTCAAACTTAATTCATGATGATATGGTAGCTGAGGTTTCAGCAAGGCTGAATTCTGATCAGAATGTTTCGGCCATAGGTGGTGCTCAATCTAAGGAGCCTGATATCTTAGATACAATCTCTAATCCTTCATTTGATGGATTGCATCCTATGGAACAGTAGAGGCGCGGGTAACAATAAATTTTTGAGGCATGCATAAGAGCTAATTGCAGTACATAATCCTTCGATTCTTGCAATTGTTGAGCCTCGAATTTCTGGTTTGAGAGCGGAAAGAGTTCTTCGTAAGTTAAAATTTCCCAAATGGCATGTGGCCGACCCTGTTGGTTTTGCTGGGGGAATTTGGTTGAATTGGGATGATGCAGTAGTTCACATCACGGTGATTATTTCTTCTGCTCAAATTTTGCATGTCTTGGTGAAGCCTAAAGATAGTGAGGAGTTTCTGTTGACAGTAGTCTACGCTAGTCCAAGAGTAGAGTTAAGAAGGTCTCTTTGGTCCCATATAGAGAATCTTGCCCGTACTATTAACGCTCTATGGGTCGTGTTGGGAGACTTTAATGATGTTTCAAATGCATGGGAGAAGATGGGTGGTGCAGTTCCCTCTCTTGCTAGGTGCAACCTGTTTAATGGTATGATTACTAATTGTGGTTTAATGGATTTGGGATTTTCTGGTCCTGCTTTTACTTGGTGTAATAAGAGGAAAGGTTTGAGGAAAGTCCAAGAGCATCTTGATCGTGTTCTAGCTGATCCTAATTGGCAGCTTCTCTTCCTTGATGCTGCTGTTGTTCATTTACCAAGAGTTTATTCTGATCATTCTCCCATTTTATTGAAAATGGAACCTGGTGTTGGCTCAGATAAAACTAAGCGGCCTTTCCGCTTCCAAGCTATGTGGATGGCAGATAATGGGTTCCAAAAAATGATGGGTAATCTGTGGAAGACTTTGGAAGGGAATTTTATTGCAAAAGAAGAGAAATTGGCCTCGGCTCTTATGGAATGGAATAAGTCAGAGTTTGGTAATATTTTTGAGAAGAAGAAAGAGTTGAGACCGCGTATCAGTGGTGTTCAACGTGCCTTGGCTAATCACAGGTCTCATCAATTAGAATTACTTGAAGAGGATCTTATTGCCCAGTATGATAAGATTTTGGAGCAGGAGGAGGTTTTCTGGGCTCAAAAATCTCGTGTCCAGTGGATCAAGCATGGAGATCATAACACACGATTTTTTCATTTGTCCACAGTTACTAGACGAGGAGAAATAAGATCTTCATGTTACATAACAGTGATTCAGATGAATGGGTTTGGGATCAGGGTGACCTGCAGAAGCGTGTTGTGAAATATTTTAAGGAGCTTTTTTCGATTGATGATGGGGAGGTTCAGCCTCTTTCTCCACTTCCCCAACCTATTCTTTCTTCCTATGAGAATTCTGATTTGTCTAAAGCAATTTCTTTTGATGAGGTTCGTTGTGCTCTCTTTCAAATGAAGCCATGGAAGGCTCCTGGATTGATGGCTTTCAGGCGGGTGTTTATCAAGAGTTTTGGAGTGCTTTTGGTAATTCTTTGTTTAAGCTTGTGAATGATGCTTTTAATTCAGGTAATTTTACTCCTGAACTGAATCGTACTCTCATTGTGCTCATTCCTAAAGTGCAACATCCAGAGTATGTTAAGCAATTTTGGCCTATTAGTTTATGTATGGTGGTGTATAAGTTAATTACGAAGGTACTTGTTAATAGGCTGCGCCCTCTTTTTGATAAGCTTGTTGGGCCTCTCCAATCAAGTTTTATTCCTGGCCGGCAATCAGCAGATAATGTGTTTATTGCTCAGGAGATGATTCATACCATAAAACGATCTAAGAGTAAGTTGGGTTTGATGACGATCAAAATTGATTTGGAGAAGGCATATGACAGAATTTGTTGGGATTTCTTGAGGGACACTCTCATTGCTTTTGGGTTTCCTGATAGCTGGGTTAAGTTAATCTTGTTTTGTCTGGAAAGCTCATCAATGTCAGTTCTTTGGAATGGTGAGAAGACAGATTTCTTTTCTCCAACGCGTGGCTTGTGACAAGGGGATCCAATTTCTCCGTATTTATTTGTTCTTTGTATGGAAAGGCTTGGACACTTGATTAATGAGTCTATCTCTCGTGGGGAATTGGTCGAGCTACTGCAAAGTAAGCTAAAACTATCAGGGCTGTTTTGGATGATTTCTGCTCTGCTTCTGGGTCTAAAGTTAGTTTGGAGAAATCTCATATGTATGTCTCGCCCAAACCGGCTGGTGATAATGTGAGGTTGGTGAGTAACATTTTGGGGATTGGTACTACTACTGATCTTGGAAAGTATCTGGGAATTCCTCTGGTGCATAAGAAAGTGGGAGGTGCTTTATACTGTGAGTTAATTGATAAGTTAACTCTCGGCTTAATGGGTGGAAGTCCAAGGTGCTTAACCTTGCGGGTCGTGCTGCTCTCGTGAGTTCGGTTACCTCTTCTATCCCAACTTACACAATGTTGACGACAAAGTTGCCGGTGAGTTGCCGTAATAACTTAGATATGTTGAACAGACGTTTTTTATAGGGTGGCTCAGAGGGTAAGCGAGCTCTTCATCTTGTTAACTGGGATGAGGTTTGTAAGCCCAAGAAATACAGTGGTCTTGGATTGAGAAAGATGGAGTACCACAACCGTGTTCTTATTCAAAAAACTACTTGGCGTTTTATTACCCAACCTCAAAGTTTGTGGGTACAATGTATGCATGCTAAGTATAAAGTCCAAGGGGATATTTTTGATTTTATTAGAGATGTTGGTGCTAAGAAGTCTGCTTGGTCTTCGTCCTGGAGGGGTAAAGTTGGGGCGTTGGATGAACTTCATCGTGGTTTGAAGAAGAGGGTTGGTAGTGGTGAAACTATTCATTTTTGGACGGATCGTTGGCTTGAGGTTCCTTTGATTGATTTAATTAAAGATCTGCCCTCCTTTATGGATATTACTTTGATGATTAGTGATTTTATGGTGAATGAGGGAAATTGGAATGTGGATATGCTTTTTGCTCAATTACCAGGTGATCTTGTTGTTATTATTTTGGGTTATCATTTGCCTAAAGTGATGAATTTGAGAGATACTTATGTTTGGGGTGCCACCTCGAATGGTTTATTTACTACCCGTTCTGCTTATTTGAAATTTTAACGTCTAAGTTTGATCTTGAGGCTTCTTGTGGGTATGATTATATTTGGAAAATGCAGCTTCCAATGCGTTGGATTTTCTTTCTTTGGCTTGTGTAGAGGGGACGTCTTGTTACTAATGGTTTGAGGTATTCTTGGGGGCTTTCTACTTCAACAAATTGCCCTATTTGTCATGCAGGTGATGAAGATATTTTACATGTGTTACGTGATTGTGAGAAAGCCAAGCAGGTTTGGGTGCAAGTGTTTCCTTCTTCTCTACACTCAACTTTCTTTAGCTTAATTGTTTCTGATTGGCTAAAGCAAGGCTTGGATTACAAAGGCAACTCTTCTTTCCAGGTGACTCTATTTGTCACTGCTCTTTGGCGTATCTGGACTACTCGTTGTAGGTTGGTGTTTCAACCGGATGATGGTGTTTCGTTGGAAGCTCTTTTATCTAATATTGCAGGTACTGCTAGGGAGGTTCATGCCGCTATGTCTAAGCCCTCCTCCTGCATTCGGAAGGATCTTTGCATTCAATGGCAGTCTCCTTCGGTGGATTTTGTCAACTTATATGGATGGTGTAGCTAGGGGAAATCCTGGTATTGCTGGAGCTGGGGGTGTTATCCGAAATTCTGCAGGTGCATGGCTTGCTGGGTTTGCTACTCATCTTGGTACTTGCTCTAATGTCGCGGCAGAGCTGCATGCCTTACGGTTGGGCATTCAGTTAGCTTGGCGAGAGGGTTATAGGTCTGTTCTTTGTGAGGTCGATGCGAAAGTCATCCTAGATCTTCTCCATTCGACTGATGTGGAATTCCACCCTTTGGGAGCCTTGTTTATGGATATTAAGGAAACGCTTACTTGGGATTAGCATTGTCTTTGCCAACATACTCTCTGTGAAGGTAATTTTTGTGCTGATATACTTTCAAAGATGGGTTGTGAGCTTGATGCTGACATTGAAGTTTTCTATGAGCCTCCTGCTCAAGTTCGGGAAGCTTTCCAAGCGGATAGCTGAAAAGTTTCTCAACATTTGTACTTTTATCAATTTTGGGAAAAAGTAATCTTACTACTATATAAAAATATTGTGTGATTATCGAAATTTCATAGGAAGATTATCAAAATTTCACAGTGTGGTTCTCAAAATTTCATATGGATTAGGTTATTAAAATTTTATAGTTATCAAAATTTCATAGCTAGGGAGGTTATCAAAATTCCATAGCGAGGTTATCAAAATTTCATAGTGTGGTTATCAAAATTTTATAAGGAGGTTATCAAAGATGTCATAGTGTGGTTACCAAAATTTCATAGTAATGTTAGAAAAATCTAAATTTCATACAAAGGTTATTAAAACTTTATAGTATAGTTATCAAAATTTCATCAGGAAGCAATCAAAATCTCATAAAGTAGTTGGTCAAAAATTCATAGAGATCAGATTACCAAAATTTCATAGGAATGTTATCAAAATTTTAAAGCGAGGTTATCGAAATTTCCCAGTGAGGTTATGAAAATTTTTCATATTGTTATTAAAATTTTACATGGAGGTTTCAAATTTCATAGTATGATTATCAAAATTTCATAGAGAGGTTAGCGAAATTTCATTGGAAGGTTATTGAAATTTCATAGGGAGGTTATCGAAATTTCATAATGTTATTATCAAAAATTTAGAGTGTGGTAATTCAAAGGGAGGTTTTCAAAATTACATTTGTGTGGTTACCAAAATTTCGTATGAAGGTTATTAAAATTTCAAAGGGGGATTATCAAAATTTCATAGTTTAGTTTTCAAAATTTTATAGGGGTTATCAAAATTTCATATAGAAGTTAACAAATTTCACAATGAAGTGATCGAAAAATCATAGGGAGGTTATCAAAATTTGTGATTATCAAAATTTCATAAGGAGGTTATCAAAATTTTATAGGGAGCTTTATCAAAACTTTATATGAATGTTTATCAAAATTTCATACCGAGTGCATTACAATTTTATAGTGTGATCATCAAAATTTTAAAGTGTGATCACTAAGATTTCATAAGGAGGTTATAAAAAAATACCATAGTGTGCTTACCAACATTTCACATGGAGATTATCAAAATTTCATAGTGTGGTTATCAAACTTTAAGTGGATGGTCAAAATTTCATTAGGAGGTCATCAAAATTTTATAGTAATGTTTTCAAAATTCTATAGGGAGGTCAACAAAATTTCATAGGGAAGTTCTTGAAATTTGATTGGAAGGTTTTTGAAATTGTATAGTATCGTTATCAGAATTTCATAGGAATGTTATCAAAAGCTTATAAGGAGGTTATTATAGGGAGATTATCACAATTTCATAGGAATATCTATGATAATAAATTAGTTGTTTAATTTGTTGCAATGTGAGACATAATACTTCACAGTAAAAAAGAAAAGCAAAGTTATAAATAATAATAAGTAAAATATGTGATAAATAGAAAATAAAAACAAAAATATTATTAAAATCAATTTGTGATAAAAATGCTTGTGATGAACCATAAAATCAATTTGTACTTGAGTATTTGCCTCGATGATAAGGTGCATGCTCTATGAATCGACCATAGGCGTGTGGGTTTTGTGCAGTTTTATGTTGAATTTGCTGATTTGTTTATGTTAGTTATTATTATAGTTAGTTTGTTTGGTTATTTCTCATTAGATGTTTGAGGTTATAATTATCTGATTGTAATGAGATTTAAATGTTGTATCACCTCAAAAAACCATAAAATCAATTAGGGTTTTCCACAAAAAAAAATTAATTAGAACGTGGTGATAGAGTGTTACAGTGTGTTTGGATAAATTTTCTGAGGGATCAATAAAGGACTGGATGGGATGGGAAAGGAGGGGCTTTTAAAGGAAAGGAAGGGAAGGACCAGTCCTTGTTTGGATTGTTTAAAATATAAAAAGTAAGGAACATGAGGGATCACCTTGTTGGTACTCCAATTTGGAGTACCAAAAAATATGGACTTATAAGGATCAAGAAGGACCAAAACTGGTCCTCCAAAACCCATGGATCAAATATAATTTCCAATCCAAACATGGGTCATTAACCAAAAAGACCTTCCGTCCTGTCCCGTCCCATCCCGTTCCTTAATGGTCCCTCAATCCAAACACACTGTTAGACTCTTAATTCTAGTGGCTATAGTTCATCCCTAGTAGCCTTAATTACCAAAATAAAAACCATTATCAATCTAAACGAAAATACTTAAAAGAGGATTTGTGTTCTATTATAATTATCCATTATCAATGTAATTCATATTGATTTTACTTTTTTTGTTAAGTAGTAAGTACAAGGAAAGATGCCGAACTTAATTTTCCTAGCTTCCAATTAGGAATAATTCACGTAGCCAATTTTCCAAACAAAACAATTTTATAGCAATTAACTACTTTAAATACAAAGTTTGCCATTGGATTTAATTTTTGTTTAATAAATTTGTGATTTTGTAAAAAAAAAAAAATCCTTATAGACACCATTGAATTAATTAAATAAATATAAATTATAAATAAAAATGTTCAAATAATGTTGGGAAGTATATATTATAATTATATGGACTTACAATATCTTTCCATAATTAATAAAAACCGTTTAATGCCTAAAAAATAATGATTAAAAAATTATTATACTATAATGCTAAGGGTGTTTATGAAATTTCCTGATTAAGATTTTTGAATTGGTGATTTATTTATAATAATAGTAGTAAGATAAGATAAGATAAACTAAAAAATTTCAAAAAAAAAAATTCATTAGGAAGTGGAATATTGCACCTATAACACCTGAAGCTTAAATCCACAATAGAAACCAGACTATACTTGCTTTCATACTCCTGAAATGGACTTGTCAGTCATAGATGTCATCGTCATCATAGTTAACTAGTTGAGTAAAATATTAAACATGTCTAATATTTATATACGGAAAAAGATAGAGTAAAGAATGACAAGGTGCTTCAATTGCTTGTAAAATCTTTCAAGTGACCCACCTTAATTTGTTATTTATTATTTTTTTTTCGGTACATATTTGTTATTTATTATTTATTAAAGTAGGAGTATCTACTAAACAGTCTCTATATATGCTTGCATTTCTTTCTCTAAAAACAGCAAAAATATATACCAGGTTCAGAAAAGAGATGTAGGCTCCAAAGCGGCCTTCTTCCTTAATATATGCCTGATCTGTGAGAATTGAGAAAGATACCGTCACGTCAGATTAATTATTGAAAAACTTAATGTTGGCCGAGTAAAAATCACGTCAGATTAATTATTAATTATTGAAAACCTTTAAAGATTGAAAAAGGATGTCGTTGGATCACTAAACAAAACAATATTATAGATTCACAACCATGGCTGATGGCTGGAGTAGAAAAATGTGCAGAAAAAAGAAAATCCTTTCTTAGCCAGAAGTTTTGCTTGCTGCCCTCGATATGTAATTCTTCTGAAGAAATCCAATTTGCTTGAATTCTGCCTTGGCTCTCTATTCATCAATACACTACCAGTGGGTATGCTTATGAATATGATATTGTCCGAATTAACAAGGAATAATGCTGCATGCCTTCCTCAAGTAAAAGTAAAAACTAAATAGGAGATGACTGATAGTGCTAAGAGAGGGATGAGAAGCAGACTAACAGAATGGGGAGAGAAAAGGATTAGAAAGAGATGAGAATATTTGAGATAATAATTTTCTGATGCATTCCCTTCCTTCTTTGTCTTACATATAGTGAGTACAAAAACGGTTACGCCTAGGATCACACGCTTAGCTGAAAGTTTCTAGAACAATTTTAAACAAAATAAATACAATTTAGAATTATTTATGGCCCATTTCATAATACTTGTTCCACTGGGGTGCATTTCTGACTCTTTTGGACCTTGTAATCGTAACACTGCTTTGCCCTTCAAGACCAACCTTGTCCTCAAGGTTGAAGGAAGGAAACAAGGTTTTCAAGTCTTCAAGTCTTTCCCAGGTGGCTTCAGTAACAGGGAGTCCCTTCCATTGGATTAAGCACTGGTCAGAAGAGATGCCTCCACTAGAAACTTTGCGTCTCTCCAAGACCTCAGCAGGTTCTAAGATGGGTTTCTCATCATCACTCAAGGCAGGGATGGGAGTAAAGTTATCCGTTGGAGAACCATAACAGCGCTTGAGCAGGGACACATGAAATACAGGGTGTATTTTGGCTGACTCTGGGAGCTTTAACTCATAAGCAACTGAGCCGATGCGACGCACGACCTGGAAGGGTCCAAAGAACCTCTTAGCCAATTTATGAGAGCTACGCTGAGCCAATGACTGTTGGCGATAGGGCTGTAATTTCAAGAACACCCAATCCCCTTCAGAAAAGCTCTTTTCCGAGCGCTTGCGGTCAGCTTGCATCTTCATCCTGTTCTGAGCATGAGCAAGGTTAGTTTTGAGCTCATTAAGAATAGTCTGTCGCTCAAGAAGGGAGTCCTCAAGTGCTGCAATTTTAGTTTGGCCAGTGACATAAGAAGCTATAGTTGGTGGGGTTCTGCCATATACCACTTCAAAAGGAGAAAAACCTGTGGCTGAATGAGTGGCAGTGTTATAGGACCACTCCGCCCAATGTAAAAACTTTGACCACATGCGGGGTTTGTCACTGGCAAAGCAGCGCAAATAAGTCTCTAAGCAGCGGTTAAGTACCTCATTTTGAGAGAGGTGTCCTGAAGTTTGAAGAGTTCCTTCCAAAATTGGCTCAAGAATAGTGAATCCCTATCACTGACAATCGAGCGAGGAACCCCATGGAGTTTACAGATTTCTTTGGAGAAGAGCTCAGCTAGCGAGGCAGCTGTCACAGAGCTTGGAAGAGCTATGAAGTGAGCATATTTCGACAGTCGGTCGACAATGACCCAAATAGTTGTTTTACCATG